CCTTGAATATAATTGAAGGTCATTCATTTGAACAAACTTGGTAGCCCTTCACCCAAGCATGCTACTGGCCAAATATCAACTCCCTGGGCATTTTGGTTATTGAGAAGAAGATGTTTAAAGTTTTTTTTACATATTTGACCCCTGTGACCTTGAAAATAGGTGGTCATTAATTTTAACAAACTTTGTAGCCCTTCATCCAAGTTTGCTTCTGGCCAAATATCGACACCCTAGGCCTTTCGGTTATTAAGAAGAAGTCGTTTAAAGTAAAATATTGACGACGGACGACGGACGGACGGACGGACGGACGACGGATGCCGCACGATAACATAAGCTCACTTGCCCTTTGGGCAGGTGAGCTAACAATGGATAAAATGAACGTTGTAACAACTCTATTGTCATATTAAAGGAGCCAACACCTGTGATAATGATACCTTGAATGTTACAACATAATCACAAGCAGTTTTATCTTCATTACAACTTCACAACATTAAGATAAGGGAATTTTTATTCAACTTTTTTTAACATCATCCAACCATACATTTTCTTCAATATCATAAAAACAAACACTTTTTTCCGATTTTAGACATTGCACACAAAGTTAAGTAAACTTACAACAATACAAAACGATGACCAACATGATATAATGAATCAATGGTAATGATACTAATAATTCTAGAACACTTTAGCAAGTAAGCTTTGTTTGGTGCCTCATTAATCTTATTAAATTCACCATTAGAAATAGTTGCCAATTAGTCCCCATTGTGTCTATTGCCAAAATATTTAAGTCGGCATATTTTTTTTCAGTCTATGACTTTATGGACTAATAATAATTCTTCCAATTTCATTTCGCAATTAAAGAACTTTTCTACATTCAAAGTACATTTACCTCATTCACCCCTGAAGTCACATTTGAACTCTTCCAATTCAAAGGTTATAATAGTTCTTTATGAAATTTCAGGGGTTTTCCATTTCATTAAGGATCTTTTAATGGAGACACAACTTCATAATCATGATTATCAAGTATACCAAGTTTCAAAGAGATCGGTCAAAAAATGTAGAAGAAGATCCCAAACAAAAATCAAATGCCGAAATGAACAAAGGGCAATAACTTTTGGAAAAATTGTTGAATCAAAATTCTTTTAAGGGAGACCCAACTTCATATAATGATTATAAAGTATACCAAGTTTCAAAGAGATCAGTCAAAAAATGTAGGAGAAGATCTCCGGACAAAAATCAAATACCAAAATGAACAAAGGGCAATAACTTTTGGAAAAATTGTCGAATCAAAATTCTTTTAAGGGAAACACAAATTCATATCATGATTATAATGTATACAAAGTTTCAAAGAGATCGGTCGAAAAATATAGGAGGAGATCTCCGGACAAAAATCAAATACCAAATGAACAAAGGGCAATAACTTTTGGAAAATTTGTTTTTAAGGGAGACCTAACTTCATATCATGATTATAATGTATACCAAGTTTCAAAGAGATCGGTCGAAAAATGTAGGAGGAGATCTCCGGACAAACAAAGTTTACGCAGAGGGATAGAATTTATACAATGACACTTATTTTCTTTACTATACCAAAGACGACGGAAATAAATTATATTACTATATTTAATTGTTAATTTACTGTTCTTTTAAGGAACAAAATTACTCACAATCATGTACACTTTGGACATCATTCCATAGCCTGCTTTCGCATGGTATATTAACCATTTCAGATCCATATGTAACCATAGGCTAGCGCATGGTATGACGTTATTACGTGCACGCTCATGCACTTGCATTTTATAGGATCTTGATATTTTACAAACCACTATTTTCACAGAGTTATTGTAATTGGATTTGTGAACCAATTTATCTGACAGAGCGTAACTCGCTCGACAACAAAAGTCATAGCGACCAAGAGCTTGTGAACTATTGTTAGCACATGATACGTACAGGTGAGGTCGATAAACAAAACACATCAGTCTGCATTCCATGCGCCTCATATACGACATTCTTGAAGTCGTCTGATGGTATGTCAGTGTTTTCCCGTGAGTTAATTAATGTCTTTGTATCATAAACTTTATTTCTGAAGTACGTGTGATTACATATTTCCAAGTTAAGTCTCGATATCGGATGTTGACATATCATCGTCACGTACTATTGTTTACCCGGTATTACTAAAATTTATACTACGGTAATGGAATGCTCGATACGCAATACGGAAATGACGACACGAAAATACGACAAGAAAAACATGTGTATTATGAAGGGGGTTAAGTCCTTAACCGCCATTGGCGAGCAGGTGACTGTCCATTATAGGCACTGCTGCAACAACAAGGGAACAAGGGAAACCTACATATAAAATTTGAGAAAGATCCCTTTGGTACCTCCCGAGAAATAGTGATAACAAACTTTCACTATCAAAATCCAAGATGGCTGCCTGTTGGCCATGTTGTTAATCCGATCAGTCTCAAAAGCTGCCCTGCACAGCTTAGGACCAAGGGGAACCTACATATAAAATTTGAGAAAGATCCCTTTGGTACCTCCCGAGAAATATCGATAACAAACTTTCTCTATCAATATCCAAGATGGCTTCCTGTCGACCAAGTTGTTTATCTGATCAGTCTCAAAAGTTGCCCTGCACAGCTAAGGACCAAGGGGAACCTACATATAAAATTTGAGAAAGAGGCCTCTGGTACCTCTTGAGAAATATCGATAACAAGAATTGTTTAAGGACAGACGGCGGAAGACAGACGGACGGACCACGGCCAACGGCCGCAGGGTGATTTGAATAGCCCACCATCAGAAGATGGGCGGCATAAAAAAAAATATATAATCAAAAGGAATCAACAATGTTCTGGTTGTTCAGTGTAAAAATGAAATGAGGCTAGACCAGGATCTCAACCTGTCCCTCGGGTCGTTACACTGTTCCTTTACCCAACTGAGCTGCATGGTCAACAAAAGCACCCAGCTGGCCCAGTCAGGCTACAGTTACATAAAACCGAAATGAAAATAAGAGCGAGATTACTGTTTGTGTTTTACATGTGGTGGGACCGGGATCTTTAACTCAACTCTGATTTCAGCCTAATTTTCATTGAAAATCTTGGTGAGATCTAAAGATTATCTTGGTAGATGATGTTTGATCGAGAAGATGCTTCTTACATCATATAAATATAAAAAAAAGTCAGAAATATGTACTCACAACCATCACAGGAAACTTCTGGAAGCTAATCTTGGAGATACCTACCTACCAAGCTTTCAACAATGAAACACTGTTTAAAGACGCTATTACAGTAAGTAACCTATCTAATGTCATCAAAATCGGTGGTGAATGCATTTAAAATATTTTTTTCTTACTTTTAATGGTATGCAATTTTGCTATAAAGCAGTATTTTGATCTTTAATAAGGCTGTAGCTATTTTTCGATAATTTGAATGTTGAGATAATCAGTAAAAATGCTGGATTCCACAATATTCTTTTTTGTATTTATATGCACAAAACAGATACACATTTTACTTGAAAGTTTGTGTGAAATATTTCTATATATACAATAGATACAAGACTGTCTCAATGTCAAAAAGACAATTGCACATTTTAAAGTTAATAGGAAAACTAGTTATGAACAAAGAATGTAAGTTTTTAATCAGTTGTTATTAGGGTTCTTTTTCCTATGAGGAGTGAAACATTTTGTTTCCCTTTTCCAACAAACTGTTTGTCTTAATCTGTGCATTTTGTCTTAATCTGTGCAATCATTATCCTAACTTTCTCATCCTTTTGCAATCTTCTATGATCTGCTACGTATTCACGCCGTGTATATATGCTGTGGCATGAAGGTAAATCAAAGTGTTTGCGACAAATTGAGATTAGTTGTTGAGGTAACACAAACCTTACATAAAAGGCTAACCCACACTACTTCCAGTCTTTAGCAGTGTCTATATAGGACAAGCCTAATATGAGATAAGTCTGATGATTAACTATGTCAAGATTGCTATTGTTTTGCTTTTTCCATAGCGATGCAACAATTACGCCATTTATAATGACCACATATAGCTTCTCACATAAGCAAATCCTTTGAAATTGAAGATATTTATAGCAATATTTAAGAAGTCAAAATAATGATAACTAAACTTTTGTATTTTACAGCAATCACATACAAAAATTGGCATGTTTAATTTGAATGCAGTGCAAAATACAACACTAATGTATGAAAAGATAACTAGAGCCATGCCTCCATCTGTTCCAAATCACCTTCATTTACACTGAATGGAAATCAACGGTAACATTTACACTGAATGGAAATCAACGGTAACATTTACACTGAATGGAAATCAACGGTAACATTTACACTGAATGGAAATCAACGGTAACATTTACACTGAATGGAAATCAACGGTAACATTTACACTGAATGGAAATCAACGGTAACATTTACACTGAATGGAAATCAACGGTAACATTTACACTGAATGGAAATCAACGGTAACATTTACACTGAATGGAAATCAACGGTAACATTTACACTGAATGGAAATCAACGGTAACATTTACACTGAATGGAAATCAACGGTAACATTTACACTGAATGGAAATCAACGGTAACATTTACACTGAATGGAAATCAACGGTAACATTTACACTGAATGGAAATCAACGGTAACATTTACACTGAATGGAAATCAACGGTAACATTAACACTGAATGGAAATCAACGGTAACATTTACACTGAATGGAAATCAACAGTAACATTTACACTGAATGGAAATAAACGGTAACATTTACACTGAATGGAAATCAAGGGTAACATTTAAACTGAAAGGAAATCAAGGGTAACATTTACACTGAATGGAAATCAACAGTAACATTTATACTGAATGGAAATCAACGGTAACATTAACACTGAATGGAAATAAACGGGAACATTTACACTGAATGGAAATCAAGGGTAACATTGACACTGAATGGAAATCAACAGTAGCATTTATACTGAATGGAAATCAACGGTAACAATAACACTGAATGGAAATCAACGGTACCATTTAGACTGAATGGAAATCAACGGTAACATTTACACTGAATGGAAATCAACAGTAACATTTACACTGAATGGAAATAAACGGTAACATTTACACTGAATGGAAATCAAGGGTAACATTTAAACTGAATGGAAATCAAGGGTAACATTTACACTGAATGGAAATCAACAGTAACATTTACACTGAATGGAAATCAACGGTAACATTTACACTGAATGGAAATCAAGGGTAACATTTACACTGAATGGAAATCAAGGGTAACATTTACACTGAATGGAAATCAAGGGTAACATTTACACTGAATGGAAATCAACAGTAACATTTACACTGAATGGAAATCAACAGTAACATTTACACTGAATGGAAATCAAGGGTAACATTTACACTGAACGGAAATCAAGGGTAACATTTACACTGAATGGAAATCAAGGGTAACATTTACACTGAATGGAAATCAACAGTAACATTTACACTGAATGGAAATCAACGGTAACATTTACACTGAATGGAAATCAACAGTAACTTTTACAATGAATGGAAATCAACGGTAACATTTACACTGAATGGAAATCAACGGTAACATTTACACCAAATGGAAATCAACGGTAACATTTACATTGAATGGAAATCAACGGTAACATTTAGACTGAATGGAAATTAGAAATCAAAAAAAGTCTGAATCTTTAAATTTGATCAGTGGAAAATGGTATGTTATAAGTAGGGCTGTCACAATATATCGGAAAACAGGTATAATGCAATACATGGGTATATCGTATTGTACCACAATACAGAGAAGAAATATTGCTGTATCGTAATATTTTTTTAAGAGCTTATTTTTATGTATCTCATTCTACTTGGTAATTTAACTTTGCAAATTACTACAAATTCTAACATATATGCAAATAAGCATAAAACAGGCTAGTGTTGGGAATTAGTTCAAATTTGTAATCAATGGTTAGTTTGACAAAACTCTTAAATCTATGTGATCCATATTATATATGATTAAGCTTGATAACATACTGACAACAACTTATTATAAAATCGAGCACATCTTTCCTATGACAATATATCGGGATACGTATCGCAATATATTCATTCTGTATTGCAATACATCGTGATACACTCCTGGCGTATTGTGACATCCCTAGTTATAAGCATATTTACAAAAAAATATCAGGCCACAAAAAAAGAACTTTTAACAACTGAAGATGTATAAATTATGGGATAAATTTAAAACGTCAGTAAACCATGAATACACCCCCCCTGCTGCCAAGTAAATTAGTTTTGATTGACAATTTCCTATTAATATAAATTTACTCTGACCTAGACATTGTCAAATACAAACTCATTCAAAGTTTACAATACTTAATATCAGTTTGATGAAAAATCTGTTCAGACATGAAGTCCCTAGAGCTGTGACAAAATTGTTCTATTAAGGGTCATACTGACCATGGAACCCTGAAATATGAACTCATCGAAGATATTCTCCTACTTGACCTTGATAAAAACTGAAGCTCATAAAGTGATGGCACTGAACCAGGAATGGACTAGACATACACTGGTATTGTCATCCCCAACATCACCCCAATCTATATGGTCAGAAATAGATAAAATATGTTATGCATATATTCGTTAAGAAATATGTGCGAAAATTTCATTCGAAATTTGTGCTTTTACTGATGAGAAATATAAAGGGATATGTTTGTATTCAGGCAAATAAATGCCCCTCAGGGATGCAATACTATTTTTATCATCAAGACCACGAGACTGTTGGCATGCTACAGGTCCATGCTCTCGTGCCACGGTCTTTCTTTGTTACTTATGATTGTTTGGGCACTGCTTACAGACGCAGACACAGTCGAGGGAACTGGTATGACAGGAACAGAAGAAGAACCAGGCTCAATTGGGAACATATACTTAACCAGAGTCTCTGTAATCGAGTCTGGGGTTTGCCACGTACTGACAGAATGTTTGATTTGTGAGTATCGTCCACGTTGAGACTCGGATGTCGGACCACTGTGGGGAACAGGTAATGACTCTGGAACCCTCAAGTAAGTATTCCGCTGTTTTTGGGAAGATGATTTTAATAGAATACTTCCAGGTCCTTTAAATTGTGGAGCTTCTTTGTCTTCAATGAAACTATTTAACTGCTCAATGACCAAATCTGATTGAGGCATATACTGTAGCTTCCTTCTGTCCTCAGTCAAACACCTTTCAACTGATTTTGGTGAGATGCAGTATTTCATCTTTGTATACAGATTAACAACAGCATTAGTCATCCAAGGGGGACCATCTTTTTTAGGGTCTGCAAAATTAATAGGTAGTGGAGCAAAAAACTTTTTGAACCTGGCGTCAACAAGTTTTAGAGGAACGTCATGTTTTATTCTCGACAGAAAACTCTTTGCAGTACAGCCCATATCTGACTCATCCGACTCCTTGAGGGAGCTGTCTGCTTCTTCAACACTACGCTCATCGCTTGGAGTCATATCGCTACACTTTGAGTAACAGGAGTCATCGTCTATTAGTGAATCCCTATCATCGCTCCCAGGATATGATTCTACAGACTTTTGCTGCTCGTTCTGAATGTTTTCATCCAACATTTCAGCCTTTTTGGTAAAAAGTGTACTGAGATTGGTATCCTCCAAAACATGAGTCTTGTTTAAGCTATCATCAGTTTGGTCCTCAAAATTTGCTGACATTTGATCATCTATTTCTGTATCTGGGCACATCAGGAATGTGTCATCCTTTAAATGATAAAAAATTTCAATAAAAATATTAAAGTGGTTTGATATGTACTGGTTAAAAACAAGTGTGGAGGCTGTAAATGTACATATATGTAGATTGGAGGTATGATGGGGTCTTCATTTTGATATGATACTTGTTTCAGTACAGAGTTGAAAGAACTTTGCTATTTTGTTTACCTTTATTCCAATATTAGGCCTCAATTTTGATGTTTGCCATTAGGCCTTAGGCTGTGCTCTCTATCTCTGCCCTTTTCACCCAAGGATGCTCTAAACGAATTTAACTTAAAATCCCTTCATCTGTTATTAAGATTTACTACTAACTGATCTATTCAACTGTTCTGCCTCAAGTGGCCCCATTTTACTTATATATTGTGGAGTCACTCAGCCCATGGAGCATTTATATAAAATAAGGTCTATATCACTTCCCAATAATAGGTAGACTTTTAAGAGTTTAACCCAAATCAGTCACACCCTTGATACAGGGATCTTTTACACCAAGTAATATTAAAATCTCTTCAATCATACTGAAAGAGTAGTATTTTTAACATATATTAATATTATCCCTATTCACGTCCTTACAATTTTGCTCCTACGGGGGCAACTTCTATTGCTAAGACAACAACAAGTCCTCTGGCTCAATGGTTTTTATATTTAAAAAGATGAAATCCCTGCAACATTACTGAAGGAAGGAATAAATTTCTTCTTTCTCCCCTACTGCCCCNAACAAGGTAAAAGGTGGGGGTATATTAGCACAGCTTTAAGCCTTTCACCACTGTAGACCATAATGGACTCATCCAGATCGATGCATGGTAGTCTACTAAAGTTACATAGGGGTGAAAGGGTTAAGCCATGCTAATCTTACCACCTCTCCTACTTTGAATAAGCAGGTATGTACTACTTAATAGTGTTGGGCCAAATTTCCAAGAAAAGTAACTTTTTTAAGAAGAACTAAAAGATAATGTTGCACGATTGCTTACCCCGAGTCGAGTGTACTTACTTCAAACATATCAAGCAGAGGGGGCTGGTCCAACTCCTCCTCTAACATGGCCATTTGACTGAGCAGCAGATCTGGCTGTGACAAGTTACCCAAAGCCTCCCTGTCTTCCAGTAGAGTTTTATTGAGCTTCTTTTTTGGTATTGTGTACCGCATACAGACTGGAGATGACCAATGGGTACCACTGAGCCAAGATGGTGCCTCCACCCTCTTTGGTTTATCCACATCCTTCAAAAAAATGTTATTATTTAACAAATATTTACAATATCACCATGTTAACAAGAGATACCAAAGGGATCTTGGCACCCACCATTGTACCATCTTCATTAGTTCTCTGTTAGTTTGATCCGATCATTGCAATATGAGAAAGATCTGTTAAATTCTTCCTTCGGCCATTTTCTTTTTATGATCAGTCTCAAAATAAAGCATTCACAACGTGGGATCAAGGGGAACCTACATATAAAATTTGAGAAAGATCCCTTAAGTTATTTCTGAGAAATAGTACTAACAAACCTTCAATGTCAAAAATAAAAGATGGCTGCCTGTCGGCCATTTTGATTATCTGATCTAAATAAAGGACTGTGGAAAACCTACATATAAAATTTGAGAAAGAACCCTTCAGTAGCAAACCTTAATTGTCAAAATCAAAGATTTGTTTATTCGATCATAAGAAAACATGCATAACTACAGACCAAGTAGAACCAACATGTCAAATTTGAAAAAGATCTCTCCTGTACTTATTGAGAAATAGCAATAACAAATCTTCACTGTCAAAATCCATGATGGTTGCCTGTCAGCCATTTTGTTTATCCAATCAGTCTCAAAATTAAACATGCACAACTTCAGACCAAGGGGAACCTACATGTCAAATTTGAGAAAGATCCCTCCAGTACTTCCTGAGAAATAGTGATAACAAACCTTTAATGTCACAATCAAAGATGGTGGCCTGTCGGCCATTTTGTTTATCCGATGAGTCTCAAAATTAAACATGTACAACTTCAGACCAAGGGGAACCTACAAGTTAAATTTGAGGAAGATCTTCTCTGTACTTCCTGAGAAATAGTGATAACAAGAATTGTTTAAGGACGAACGATGGACCACGGACGCAGGGCGATTTGAAAAGCCCACCATCAGATGATGGTGGGCTAAATTGTTAAATTGGCTTTGATGTTGGAACCCTGAAATAGGAACTCATTTGAGATATACTTGACATTTATTTAAAGTTCTAGCAAAATAAAGTTGAAATAAAGTTCAGTGATGTTACTGAATTGGTTGACAAATTCTATAATTGTGATATGGTGACCTTGACCTTCACACTGGAATATTTTTGAGGTATGAACTTGACCTTTGTACAAAGTTTGATGAAATACCGTTAAGCGAGGATAATGAATCAGCACCAGACAGGATGAAACAGGACTGACATATATGGATGGTAACACTATGTCCCCATCCCTTAATCCCCCCCCCCCCTCATCAATGAAATGGTGGCGACATTTTATACCTAAATATCATTTTTTGTAAGAAAATACATATATAGGGGCCATGATACCAGTCTTGAAACCAGAAAAATACAATTTGATTGGATAATTAACATTTGAGATTTAGATGCATTTCCCTCCAAATTCTTAAGCTCTCAGCCGTATTCCCAAAACACAGCAAAAATACTCAGTAAGTAGCTACCTCAATGCTGGTGAAGCTCCGATTGGGACTTCCAAACTCTAACATGTAAAGGAGTGATGAGCTTGTCTCCTCCATCGAGGACGACTGCGAGGAGGATAAACTACTTCTAATCAAATCCATGGGTGTGGCTGCGAAGGTTTGGGTCTGTGGAAAAAGAAACAGAAAAAATTATAAGTTAACTAAGGAAAGAGTTTCCTGATGTACTCATTTTGTAAATCCAGTGTTTACTTACTTTAGTGAAGGCAGAGTGATTTTATTTCGAAAATGTGATAAAAGTCAAAGTAATAGAGGTGGAATGAAGTACATCTAAAGATGACATAAAAAAAAAGCATTATTTTAATAAGATGTTTAATACCAAATATTTGAATACCTGGTTTAACTGCTGTCTGTTCTTACTAAGTATTTGAGTAGTTTCGTTAATGAGACAGCTGCCTGTCTATACAGAGTATTCCGTCTTTGCGTATTGCAGAGGTATCTTCTCTTGGTAGCAGGTATTGATTGTTACGTCACTTGTTTGTGAGAGGAACGTCATCAATTTTTGAGAAAACGACGTAATTTTCTCACACAAACCAATGACGTCACAATCAATACCTGCTCCCAAGAGAAGATAACTCTGCAATATGCAAAGACAGAACAAGTTATACCGAGTACTAGGACCGTACCTGCGGAACAGTGCCACCTTTCTTTGGTACAGGGACATGGATCAGGGGTTGAGATTCACCAACAGATGAGGTACTTGGCATGGGATGAGGAACATTTCCCGGCTGCAGCAGTGGCACATTCTGATTTTGCTTACTGATTGGTTGGAAAGCTCCGATCCCCGGCTGAAAAAACCCTCCCATCACTTGGGGGATGAAGGAAACGCCTAGTCAATTAAAACCATATAATCTATAAATATTTTTATTCAGCTAATTCTCTAAAAACTTATTTTAAGAAACTTGTTCAGAAAGCTTTTACGAGTGAAAACCACATTATGAACCAGAATCAAGGCAATGAATCTTAAATTAGTTGTAGACTATTTGGACACAATATTCAAGTCACTTTCACATAAATATTTAGCTAGAGGCATATCAGGGCTGTATCACCTGCCTGTTTCATTTCTTATCCAAAGTAGTAAACAAGTTCAAATTATTCCACTAAGTTAAAGCCGTAGTTGCCATCTCTGATTTCTGATTACTTACCCAAAGAATTATAATAACAATACATGAAACACCCATGACAGCAATATTTGTATGTTCGCTTGAAATTGATCTATCAGAATTGAGAATTAGTCTTCACCTTAGGGGTAACCTTGAAATAGTCAAATAAACTCTTTGTAACCAACCTTATTGTTAGATAAACAACAGCATTTTGTCTGTACAGTGTACTTATTTTGGTCATTACACTGTAAAAAAAAACCCTGAGAATTCCTTACAACTAACATTGAGAGTTTGATACCACAAATACAAGTTAAACATGCATAATAGCACATTTTGCTTTGCCACCTGGCGCCCCTGGCACATAACTTAGACAACAGGCTCATTGGGCCTTTAATGCTCACATTTTATTCATCTCACGGCTCTGACCTTTCAAGTAGATCAAGTTCACATTTACTTAAAAATATCATTTCCGTTCAGATTTTTTAAAACTTTCTTTGGAAAACCTTTTTAAGCTACACTTTATGTATCATTGTTTGAATATTTCAACTGTTTTCACTCGAACGGCCTTCAAAGTTGATCTAGGTTATTTATTCAGATTCAAACTTGATAGCTCTTCACACAATTAAGCTATAGGCAAAATACCATTAAATTTGGACTCTTAGTTATTCAGAAAATAAGCTGTTTAATGGTTTTAACACTTTTGATCCATGTGGCATTGCAAAGGGTCAAGGTCAATCATATGAACAAACATGATAGACATTCTCCCCAGGATGGCAAAGGTAAAATAACATGACCGTTAGCCTCTAATTATTCAAAACAGGATTTTGAAGCCTTTTATAGATTTGAACCCTGTGACCTTAAACTTTAGTTAAGTTATTTCATTTGAATAACTTTATAGCTCCTTTATCCCAGCATGACACTGTCAAAACGTCATAACCATATTCCTTTTGGTAACTCAAAAGAAGTTGTTCAAATGTTTTAATAACTGGACCCCTGTGATTAAATTTAAAGACTAAACACATTTGGTTCATGTGATCTTGAAAGTGGGTGAAAGTCTTCAAGAAAGAAACACTGGATTATTGTGACCAAAGGCTTCTTCGATATTCAGAAAAGTTGTATAAAGAAAAAGAAATTGATGTCGGACCCTGCACCATAGCATAGACTGCCCTTTGAGCGGTTGTGCTATAATGATATGATAATGATATGTTAATGATATGATAATGATATGTTAATGATATAATAATATTTGGGTTGGCACCTGACTGAGGGTAGTAAGGCCACTGCATGTTGTTCGAGGTTGTACTGGGTGTGGAGGTCATCATGTCTGTTGGAGCAGTCATAATATTCAGCTTGATGGGAATATTGACTGGATCCACCTGTACAAAAGGCATCCCCAGGTGTTGATACACACCCATACGTCTGTTTATAGGCAAAAACATTGGTTGACTGAACGAATTACCAACAGGAGCTTGTGGAACAGCTTTGCCATAACTCTTCTGTTTCTTCTTCTCATCCACCTGTTTTTTCTGAATTTTGATGTTCTTGATTATGTCCCACTTATTATCACTACTAGGATCAAGGGAATGCAGGCGCTTTCCATTAAGTTTGAAAGACATTGGATTGTTCTCATCCTTAGCCTGTTCTATGAACATGGTTTCCTCCCTGCGTGTGTGCTTCCATAGCATTTCCTGTGTCAGTGACATCAGTGAAAACATGCCCTTGTCCTGCTGTACATGCACCTTTGGTTCGACCTCTTTGCCCATTACATAACTGGGAGAGTTCGGTCTAGAGCTCTGAGGTACAGTCGTTATATTCTTAGGCTGTGTGGCCATATCAGAGTCAAGCAGAGTAAACACTGCTACACCGCTCTCCTCTCGCTCCTGTTCCGACAACAGCACCTGTAACGGTCAAAAGGGATCCGGTCAACTCAATTAACATGTATTCCACAAGTTAGCAATAAAATCTGATAGTTCTGTAAAAAGCACCTGCTCTCACTCCTATTTAATAAAGGTTCTGCAATGAATTTAATTTTCAAAGGAAAACAAACTTCATGGAGATTTGTTTTTGAAACTTACAAACCATGTTATGATAGTTAAATAAACATGATAAACAACAGTCACAAAATCTGGAACTTGTCTCTACTTTGTCGAGTGATAACTACCATTGATTTACAAATGACAAGTCAGACCACCTGTCAATTCAACACCTTAATACAAATGACAAGTCAGACCACCTGTCAATTCAACACATTAATACAAATGACAAGTCAGACCACCTGTCAATTCAACACCTTTATACAACTGACAAGTCAGACCCCCTGTCAATTCAACACCTTAATACAAATGACAAGTCAGACCACCTGTCAATTCAACACCTTTATACAAATGACAGGTCAGACCACTGTCAATTCAACACCTTTATACAACTGACAAGTCAGACCACCTGTAAATTCAACACCTTTATACAAATGACAGGTCAGACCACTGTCAATTCAACACCTTTGTACATCTGACAAGTCAGACCACCTGTCAATTCAACCCCTTTATACAACTGACAAGTCAGACCACCTGTCAATTCAACACCTTTATACAACTGACAAGTCAGACCACTGTCAATTCAACACCTTTATACATCTGACAAGTCAGACCACCTGTCAATTCAACACCTTTACACATCTGACAAGTCAGACCACCTGTCAATTCAACACCTTTATACAAATGGCAAGTCAGACCACTGGCAATTCAACACCTTTATACAAATGACAAGTCAGACCACCTGTTAATTCAACACCTTTATACAAATGACAAGTCAGACCACCTGTCAATTCAACACCTTAATACAACTGAGAAGTCAGACCACCTGTCAATTCAACACCTTTTTACAACTGACAAGTCAGACCACCTGTCAATTCAACACCTTTATACAACTGAAGATTTAGTAGAAAATTTGAAGTTAAAACCCTTACCTTGGTACTGCTACCAAAACTGGGAGGCATGGGGACAGAAATGTCAACTTCTAACAACGAGTCACAGGATGAGCTTTCATGCTGTTCCTCCTCAGTAGAACTGGCACTCTTCTTCTCGGAGAACGGAGAATAAATCGTGTTTTTCTGGCTAAGCAGGAATCTGTACAAATCAAGTACATAGAGATAGGTCAATAGTAATGCAATGTTTTTCAGGCTAAAACGTCTTCAATATGCACATGTACACCAAAATATCTGTATAGTGTCATGAAGTATGTTGAAGGGAAAAGTGTGTAAAGAATCAATTTTGAGGTAAAATTTGGAAAAACCATAGTTAAAAATCTGAATGTCATTATATTTCACCTGCATCTCAAACTGATAAACTTGCCAAACAGAAGAAGATTGGGTGCACATTTTTGGAGATGAGAATATTTCAGAACCTAGTCGAAAAACTGTTTCTTATTGGACAGTGGCATAATCATCAATACCTGAAGCCATTACAGGAGGTACATCATAAGCTCACATCTACTCAAAAATAGTTAGTTAATTATATGGTAAATTGGATGTAATATTGATCAAACTGAGCAGAGAAGAACACTGGACTTAGGTAAGTATATGCTAGAAATATTTATAAAAAAATCCAATCCAACTGCAGCAGCCTCATTATATGTTTGTGAGTATCAAACTAGAGCATGGGACATAAGGTTTACCAGGCCAAAACATCAAACACTTCAATTGAATCAGATACTTTCTTCAAAAGTTGTCATTCGGAAGCCATTAACCAATCATACTTCAGCATTCCAATTGAATACTTTTTAATTTGGCTGAACAGCAAACTTTAACAAGTGACTTCTGGTGGTTTAAAAATACTTACCTCTTTATGTTGCTTGTATAATTCAAGTGATCGTACGAGAGGGTTTCTCTATTTGTAGACACAGAACTGCTTGCCTGTAAGGTAGAAGTACAGTAAATTGTTGTTTGGGGGGATATGTCACCCTTTCTTTCTGTGAGAAGATGTTGGTACAATGGTATTGTCTATATGTACATGTACAGACTAATCTGGTTCTGTTGCAAATGTCAGTCTCTGCAAGCTGAATATGAGGTGTCAATTTACATAATATTCAATGAACCAAACTTAATAATTGTGTAGCATTGACTATGTGACCTTGACCTTTGACCTTTGACTGTATTTCTCATTTTGTGAAATAAGCCTGTCATCACCTTGATGATTTTTTCTTTAATTTTATGTATGTTTACATCAAGATGTGAGAAAAAACTTAACTAAAAATAATAAGACATGGTTACATCACATGATGTTGGTAAACTAAAACGAGAATGGATGTATTAAAGGAAACTAGACCCTTTTTGAGTATTAAAATTGGTCACATTCTAATTGTTGCAATTTAAAGAATGTTTTCAGAAAGTTGGTAAAAATTCGTCCAAAAGTTAGAAAGGTTGTCTTAATCAACCACTTTGCTCAGAAGAGATAATGTTTAAAGGTTTTGCACTGAGTGACCCCTTGAGCCCTGCTCTGAGGGGGTCAGTCCCTTCTTGAATACAGAGTCTTGATTTCCACCACATAGTGATGATAACCATCAAGTCTTATCAAAATCTGATAGAGGCCTACATAATGTATATAGGGGAAGTCAAATGTATGGTTGCTTTGAGACAACAGGTATCAGGTGATGGACAACTAATGGTTATCACAATAGGATAAAATAGGTATATATACAGTGATATAAGCCACCGAGAAATGAAAAAAGTTCAAATCTGTGTAAATAATTTTGGAAATATCTGCTTATTTATATGACAAGTCATATAACTTTATGGAAAGAAATCAATGTTACTTACATTAGAATCATCAACATAAGTAATGGAGTGCTCCTTGACAGGGCCATCCGGGTCTGTCCACTCTTCTGGAAACCAGACAACAATACATTATAACTGTACAAGAGGGAATAAGTCAGGGAAAACAGAAATGATTGGTACAATGATTTGGAGGGTATGAAGGGATACACAATTTATGATGATACAACTATTTCTGGTAGTATAAAGATTGGAGATACTGTACACCAGGAAATTTAACTTTTTTCACCTACCAAGAAAAGGGTTAATTTGTAATGGTAGTCCGTATTTTCGTACACACCAAATCATTTATAGTAAATACTTGTGACGGACAGAATTAACACTGCACCAAATGGATTTTTCTGGTGAAGGGCAAATGTTTCCCGGTACACAATACAGAAATTTCAGGGGAAACATAGATTTAAGGTAGTTTAGAGATGCGAGGGGTTAGAAAAAAGTTAACTTGCATCATTTAATAAGAAAACCAAGGTCGTAATCAAACAGATGTACCTGCTCATTGCAAAAATTCCAGTTGATCCACAGACAAAAGCATATTCGTAAATCATAAAATTACACATCCGTTTAATGAAATTATAAGATATAGAAGGAAAATATAACAATTTTTTATGACAGACAATAATCCATCACAATTAATTAGTAACTCAACAAGGTCTAGAGGGAAAATCCTCACTTAATAACCTCCAGAGACCTTAACCTATATATCATATCTCCCCTTTTTAGTCGATTTAAATATTTGCTTTACACATCTTGGACTTTTGACAGTGAAGTTAAGGCCATAGAGATCTAATTAAAATATACTGCACACCTTTACTGTTGAGAATGATGCAAATATAATTTAATCTTAACAGTTTAATATTTAAAGCCTAGTCCAGAATAGATTTCACTGAAAATTTTGCATTTATTTGACCTTTGACCTAAAGGTGAAGGTTACCATGACATAATTGCAGTGCAACACACCTGGATTATGCAGGTTTACTTTCAGGTTTCATAAAATATCTTTAAAAAATAATCTTAAGTGTGGTTTTGCTTTGTTTAATAATTGTACACATACTTTAAAATCAAATACAAGTAAATTTCTATATCTATGTTTTTTTCTTAACCCTTTCACCCCTATGTAAGTTTAATAAACTCTACCATACATTGATCTGGATGATTCCATTAGGTCTACAGTGGTGAAAGGGTTAATTGATATCTAAGTTTCTTTATATTGCACTTACAACCTTAACTTGTAAATAACTCACCGTTTAATCTGTGTTTCTCAATAGTTTGATTTGGTGTGGCTATCTGAACGGATACCAAAGGCTGAAAACAACAAATTTTATAAATTACATTCATTCATCAAAAAGAAAATACCAGTAATAAATAGATTTAATGATCCTAGTAAAACAGCATTTATAGAGTAGAATGAAATAGGAGGAAATCAAAAAAGGATTACATCTAAGTACTTGAAAGGACTCGATTTTCTAATGTAGCTGATTTGAATTTTGGGCTAAATCAGACTAAATCAGGTTTTTTGTTTTTTTAATCCTCCTCAATAAATAAAGTTTATTATCATTAATCTGTGGAGAAACTGGGTAGAGTTTTATAATTGTTTTCCTTTTTTGTTCAAAGGACAAAAAACAACTAATACATTGTAACTACATTTTCACTGCCTATTTTAGTTAATCACCTGAAAATAATCCGAAAGTTTATTTTATCTGGGAATAGAGTAATAACTTAAGATTGTCTTACCTTTAAAAGTAAGTCACGTATCATCTGCTTGAGTCTTGCAAGGTTATCAGACAAGTTGACATTCACATTCTGGTTCAACATTTGGCCGAAAATGTTTTTTCTTGTTGGTCCCCTAAAACGAGCAGACAAATCAGACGTAGATTAAGATTTAACAAGAGGCACAAAGGATTTGTATTGATCAACTGGATATTTAACAATCATGGCCAAATATTCTCAGTTCAGATAATGTTGCTAAACGATAACAAAGGGTGGCATCAGAACAGTCTGAATCCAGGGTTAATCTGTGATATATTTATCTCTTCATGTTAAGCAAACAGTTATGTATGCCTGTATGGCAAAGAGGTGGTGATCAGAGCTGTATCTTAGTTGTATAGCAGGACCAAGTCAACAGGGGCAAATGATGAGTGTATTCATTTCATGTTAAGCCATTGTATATTTATGGTTATGGTATGGTGATCGCCGAAAATTCCAACCTAGGGATGAAGTCATTGGTGGCTGCACAGACCCCTGAGCTAATTCTGATAGCATAATTGTGTTTGTCTCTTCAACTACTACAATTGCATTGTGAAGGGGTAGGGATCTTAACATTATCCATGCCCAAAAGACTAAGTTGCCAGGGGTTGGGTTGGATCCTGCAGCAATTCAGGTAGCATATGTGTATTTAAATCTTCATGAATGGTATACATTGTTTTAGATTGTGGAAATCAACTGTTTCCATGTTGTGACCCAGGGAACAAGTCCCTAAGGACAGAGGAAGATCCCAAGGCTAATCCTGGTAGCATATCTATTTGCTTTTTTATGTTCAATGATTGTATGCATGGTTTTAAGTTGAGGATCTCAACCATTTCCATGTTGCAAACTGACCCAGGAACTAACACTCAATAGGCCAGATCCCAGCGCAAATTCTGATAGCATCATTGTGTTCATCTCTTCCTGCTCAGAAAGTGAATTATGGGATGGGGATCTTGACCATTTCTGAGTTATGACCCGGGGACCTAAGCCTCCAGGTGTAGGACTGGACCCTGGCATGGGTAGCAAATATGTATTTGACTCTTCATACTCGGCAATTTTACATTTGGTTATAGGGTTGAGATCCCCAAGGGACTGTATTCGTCTCTTCATGCCCAGCAATAATATAAATAATATCATTATAGTTTGGAGTTCCATGTTATAGGTTGTGAAGAGTAAATTAACACAGGATAAATATTTATTTTACCAAAGAAGAACAAATATTTCACAAGGTGAAAGAACACAGCAATTATATATTTAATCAAATCAAGAAGGAGGTACGTACTTGATGACCGTATGCTGGCCAATTACAAACTCCAGTCTGTGGGACCAGGGGTTCACAAATCTTGACCATTCTGTCTTAACGTACACCCAAGCTCCGTTACGCACCCGGAACCGAAACGGAGGACTTTCAAATGGAACAGTCTCTGTGTTGACAACTGTAATATAAGTAAAAACAGATTTACCAGTTGAACAGGGGAGAACTGCTTAAAATGATTTGCATCAAGACTTTAAATAGAACAAACATTTTGGAACATGATCAGATGTTATCAAGTGCTTCATTGAACTCTATCTCCCAAACTGTACACTTTTTGGCCAGTTAGAGCCCAAAAACCAAAACCCAAAACTTTACTTCTCAGTTGTTTGATGTCAGTTGTATCCCCTATGTATCACTCCCACAGAGTAACATCACAGTCAGTTGTTTGATATCCGTTGTATCCCCTATGCATCACTCCCACAGAGTAACATCACAGTCAGTTGTTCTATGTCAGTTGTTCCCCCTTTGTATCACTCCCAAAGAGTAACAGCACAGTCAGTTGTTTGATATCAGTTGTATCCCCTATGCATCGCTCCCACAGAGTAACATCACAGTCAGTTGTTCTATGTCAGTTGTACCCCCTTTGTATCACTCCCAAAGAGTAACATCACAGTCAGTTGTTTGATATCAGTTGTATCCCCTATGCATCACTCCCACAGAGTAACATCACAGTCAGTTGTTTGATGTCAGTTGTTCCCCCTATGTATCACTCCCACAAGGTAACATCACAGTCAGTTGTTTGATGTCAGTTGCACCCCCTTTGTATCACTCCCACAGAGTAACAACACAGTCAGTTGTTTGATGTCAGTTGTCCCCCCTATGTATCACTCCCACAGAGTAACATCAGTCAGTTGTACCCCCTTTGTATCACTCCCAAAGAGTAACAGCACAGTCAGTTGTTTGATATCAGTTGTATCCCCTATGCATCACTCCCACAGAGTAACATCACAGTTAGTTGTTTGATGTCAGTTGTACCCCCTGTGTATCACTCCCACAGAGTAACATCACACTCCATTGTTTGATGTCAGTCGACCCCCTCTGTATCACTCCCACAGAGTAACATCACAGTTAGTTGTTTGATGTCAGTTGCACCCCCTTTGTATCACTCCCACAGAGTAACAACACAGTCAGTTGTTTGATGTCAGTTGTACCCCCTGTGTATCACTCCCACAGAGTAACATCACAGTCAGTGGTTTGATGTCAGTTGTACCCCCTATGTATCGCTCCCACAGAGTAACATCACAGTCAGTGGTTTGATGTCAGTTGTACCCCCTATGTATCACTCCTACAGAGTAACATCACAGTTAGTTGTTTGATGTCAGTTGTACCCCCATAGTATCACTCCCACAGAGTAACATCACAGTCGGTTGTTTGATGTCAGTTGTACCCCCTATGTATCCCTCCCACAGAGTAACATCACAGTCCATTGTTGGATGTCAGTTGTACCCCCTATGTATCACTCCTACAGAGTAACATCACAGTTAGTTGTTTGATGTCAGTTGTATCCCCTATGCATCACTCCCACAGAGTAACATCACAGTCCATTGTTTGATGTCAGATGTACCCCCTATGTATCACTCCCACAGAGGAACATCACAGTCCATTGTTTGATGTCAGATGTACCCCCTATGTATCACTCCCACAGAGTTACATCACAGTCAGTTATTTGATGTCTGTTGTACCCCCTATGTATCACTCCCACAGAGTTACATCACAGTCAGTTATTTGATGTCTGTTGTACCCCCTATGGATCACTCCCACAGAGGAACATCACAGTCAGTTATTTGATGTCATTTGTACCCCCTATGTATCACTCCCACAGAGTAACATCACACTCCATTGTTTGATGTCAGTCGACCCCCTCTGTATCACTCCCACAGAGTAACATCACACTCCATTGTTTGATGTCAGTCGACCCCCTTTGTATCACTCCCACAGAGTAACATCACAGTCCATTGTTGGATGTCAGTTGTACCCCCTATGTATCACTCCTACAGAGTAACATCACAGTTAGTTGTTTGATGTCAGTTGTACCCCCTATGTATCCCTCCCACAGAGTAACATCACAGTCCATTGTTGGATGTCAGTTGTACCCCCTATGTATCACTCCTACAGAGTAACATCACAGTTAGTTGTTTGATGTCAGTGGTACCCCCTATGTATCACTCCCACAGAGTAACATCACACTCCATTGTTTGATGTCAGTCGACCCCCTCTGTATCACTCCCACAGAGTAACATCACAGTCCATTGTTTGATGTCAGTCGACCCCCTTTGTATCACTCCCACAGAGTAACATCACAGTCAGTTGTTTGATTTCAGTTGTACCCCCTATGTATCACTCCCACAAGGTAACATCACAGTCAGGTGTTTGATGTCAGTTGTACCCCCTATGTATCCCTCCCACAAGGTAACTTCACAGTCAGTTGTTTCATGTCAGTTGTATCCCATATGTATCATTCCCGCAGAGTAACATCACAGTCAGTTGTTTGATGTCAATTGTACCCCCTATGTATCACTCCCACAGAGTAACATCAGGCAGTTGTACCCCCTTTGTATCACTCCCACAAGGTAACATCACAGTCAGTTGTTTGATGTCAGTTGTCCCCCCTATGTATCACTCCCACAGAGTAACATCACAGTTAGTTGTTTGATGTCAGTTGTACCCCCTTTGTATCACTACCACAGAGTAACATCACAGTCAGATGTTTGATGTCAGTTGTACCCCCTATGTATCACTCCCACAGAGTAACATCAGTCAGTTGTACCCCCTTTGTATCACTCCCACAGGGTAACATCACAGTCAGTTGTTTGATGTCAGTTGTACCCCCTATGTATCACTCCCCCAGAGTAACATCACAGTCAGTTATTTGATGTCAGTTGTACCCCCTATGTATCACTCCCACAAGGTAACATCACAGTCAGTTGTTTGATGTCAGTTGTATCCCCTATGTATCATTCCCGCAGAGTAACATCACAGTCAGTTGTTTGATGTCAGTTGTACCCCCTTTGTATCACTACCACAGAGTAACAACACAGTCAGTCTTATAGAGTTATAGCCCTAAATGTTTCGACCAATCAGAAGCCACACAGACCAGCGTTGGCCAACTTAGATTTCTGAGCTAGTACAGAATCAGTTGTTACCTTGCTGGTAGATTTGACCCTATGTTGGTTGTTTGAGTATATTTCTGAGCTAGTACAGAATCAGTAGTTACCTTGCTGGTAGATGTGACCCTACGTTGGTTGTTTGAGTATATTTCTGAGCTAGTACAGAATCAGTTGTTACCTTGCTGGTAGATGTGACCTTACGTTGGTTGTTTGAGTAGACTTCTGAGCTAGTACAGAATCAGTAGTTACCTTGCTGGTAGATGTGACCCTACGTTGGTTGTTTGAGTATATTTCTGAGCTAGTACAGAATCAGTTCTTACCTTGCTGGTAAATGTGACCCTACGTTGGTTGTTTGAGTAGATTTCTGAGCTAGTACAGAATCAGCTCTTACCTTGCTGGTAGATGTGACCTTACGTTGGTTGTTTGAGTAGACTTCCGAGCTAGTACAGAATCAGTAGTTACCTTGCTGGTAGATGTGACCTTACTTTGGTTGTTTGAGTAGACTTCTGAGCTAGTACAGAATCAGTAGTTACCTTGCTGGAAGATGTAACCCTACGTTGGTTGTTTGAGTAGATTTATGAGCTAGTACAGAATCAGTTCTTACCTTGCTGGCAGATGTGACCCTACGTTGGTTGTTTGAGTATATTTCTGAGCTAGTACAGAATCAGTAGTTACCTTGCTGGAAGATGTAACCCTACGTTGGTTGTTTGAGTAGATTTCTGAGCTAGTACATAATCAGCTCTTACCTTGCTGGTAGATGTGACCTTACGTTGGTTGTTTGAGTATATTTCTGAGCTAGTACAGAATCAGGTGTTACCTTGCTGGTAGATGTGACCTTACGTTGGTCGTTTGAGTAGACTTCCGAGCTAGTACAGAATCAGTAGTTTCCTTGCTGGTAGATGTGACCTTACTTTGGTTGTTTGAGTAGACTTCTGAGCTAGTACAGAATCAGTAGTTACCTTGCTGGAAGATGTAACCCTACGTTGGTTGTTTGAGTAGATTTATGAGCTAGTACAGAATCAGTTCTTACCTTGCTGGCAGATGTGACCCTACGTTGGTTGTTTGAGTATATTTCTGAGCTAGTACAGAATCAGTAGTTACCTTGCTGGTAGATGTGACCCTACGTTGGTTGTTTGAGTAGACTTCAGAGCTAGTACAGAATCAGTAGTTACCTTGCTGGTAGATGTAACCCTACGTTGGTTGTTTGAGTAGATTTCTGAGCTAGTACAGAATCAGTTCTTACCTTGCTGGTAGATGTGACCTTACGTTGGTTGTTTGAGTAGATTTCTGAGCTAGTACAGAATCAGTTCTTACCTTGCTGGTAGATACCATACAGCAACTCAATGTCATCCGGATGGTAAAAATCAAAGATCGACATGCCAACAATATCCTGAGGGAGGAACCCCAACAATGGAATAGCCCTGGAAATTCAAAGTAAAATGTCAGTTACAGGTCACAATATACATTTTCATTGTTTAATTGTGTGCTACCAGTTAAAGATGCCCAACTTATGCTGAAGCAAGTTAACAGCATGTTGATCCCAGATGTGCAATGAAAGTTGAGAGATAATGTGACATTTTTTTGCTTGTTTCCACGAACAGGAATTTTTCAGCTGATCTTGTTGATCTGATATACGCCAGCATGCCAGCCATTCAATGGTACTGGACATGATCATACATGTTGAACTCTATCTTTAAAACACAAATAGGCTCTAACAGATATCACAATGGTAAATGCTTGACGGCATGTTATGAAGGAACTGACCTGCTTCATCACACTGCATGATAGTGGGGGCCATTAATATGGAACCTATGTATACAGAATCAGAATATATTTAGTGTTCTCATCTTGGGGACACAAAAGTTTAAATCAGACACTTTGAAAATATGTAACAATGGATAAATAAAAGATATTATTTACTGCAGTATTAACATTAAATAAAGGTCTTTAGCCCCAACATAACAAAACTAAGGACTTTTAGTTTCATCTTTTTCCCCCTTTCAATTTACTGTACAGTATTCTTTTGTTTTGGTAGTGTCTTCTTAGGCACCCATGGTAAACGCCTTGTCAGTATATTATGTGACAGGGTAGACTGGGGAGGACCATGAACAAACTAACGTGGCTATGCATACTTACTTGGAATCAATATGGCTGTAGCTACAGAATAAACTGTGTCGGGTTGAAAATGTCATATTCTGTAACTTCTCACCTGTTAAAAAACATAGGTCAATATTTATACAGGAGGAAAGCTTTAAACTCTTCTCAATTTTCAAAATCAATGTACTAATATTGCCTGGACTCATGGGGGTCTATATAAAATAAGTTTCTATTAACACTGTCGTATGTTCCAACGTTAATCAACATTTTCAGGAACTTGGCCTTTTCAAATATTTTGAAATTTGAAACAGGAAACTTTTCTGTGAGTAATTTTCAGTTTCATCTTCATATTCATATTGAAAAAGCTGTAATGTCTGGGACAGCGCATGTTAATTTTCATTTTCGATTGAGTACCCAAGATAAAGAAACATAATCTTAATTAAGGTTAAAGACCTTTAAATACATTTGTTTATTTTCAAAAGATAAGCATTCTGTAACAATTTTTTCTAAAAAAGAAAAGCTTACTTTCATACGCCGATCTCATTGGCACACATTTCAGCACAACTGACAACTTGTTTTTCTTTTTGTGTGTGGGATCTGAGACATTCGGTTGCTGGGCAACTGTCGCCTGAAATGTCTGGAACTCCGTTTCCTTTGAGGAAAGGCTGAATCCCCCTGTCAGAACCTTGTATTTCCTGTGATAAAGACAAATCACAATATTCTACAGTTACTAAGTATACCTTTACATCAGCAGTCTAGATCACAGTTCTACCACCAACATTCCTTAGTTTACATATATCACCAGTCTGCTTCGATGGATTTCAGCACAATATGTGTTTCAAATGAATTTAAGTCCTTTTGAATTTCTCCTTTTGAATTTCAGTCCTGGTAGATCCATAAAGAATCAATGTCTGACTTTTGATGGAAGACTTACTAAATTTAAACTTTACCGGTATTTATTTTACAACAATTATGTAACAAGTGTTTTTCCAACTTGTTGGCCCAGATGAAAAGGCACAAATGGTTTTGATGTGGCATGAAACTGGAGTATTCTAATAAAAACCCATGTGGTTGGGCAGGTGACCCAATACCTTTTCACATCCAATTTGGGAAACAAACCACAGCTATGGGCCAAGATTTACCACCTGTCTTTATGTGACTAATGTGTCAACTTTGATAATTTGCTCATTTCAAATTTTTAGTGACTATTTGACAGGGATTGATGCCTTGTCTGTGTGACTGTGGGATGAGTGAGCCTAGATTATGTTTTTTGGTAACAAGTAGACCAGATGTTATATCATCCCAGTAGCCAGAACTCCTTTTGGGCTTCAACTCATCACTTATTATCCATCAACTAATTTGACAAATTGAAACAAGAACGTTTTTGTACCATTTAACCCTATAGTAACAATACTTCATCATTATTCCATCCTTTGCATCAATTTTTCTGTTTATGTTATTCGGTTCAAGTTTTGGGGAGAAAATTGAACATCAGAATGGGGTAATGATAAGTAATGATTTGTAGAAAATATGCCATATTCATATAAAGAACAATATGTTGCTATGCAACAAAAGCAAATTGTTCATCTGACATCAATAGCTAAAACCCTGGTTCAATATATCCATACCTGCAGCGATGCAATCTGAGACATCATATGAACACATGTGGTTTTACCTATTTACACCAACTCATTCTAGGTAATGGTGCCGAACACTTCCAGCTGAAGTAAAATATTTTTCGTGACTCTGAACCTCTAAAACTTACCTCAGCCTGAAGTAAAAGAGTTTTTTCTGAATTTGGAATCTGCCTTCTCCTTCGTCTGTAAAATTTAAAAAAAATGAGAAGTTACAAAACGAATAAATAATATATTAAATGTAACAGAAATACATTAATTTAATTTGAACAATAAGAAATGTTTCTAGTGTTATATCTTGAATTCTGATGAACTTTAATTATTAATAGTCAAGTCGTATTGCACAAGTCAACAATAATGAAGAAAAACCCATATTGAATGCGATACATGTATACTGAATGGTAAGAGTTAAAACCTGCACACCTAAGTACCAAGGGTACACAGTGATATGCCGGTCATACACTGGTATGTTACAGTTAGAAGGCACTCAAGGATTTGCCTTCGTAACTAAAAGAAGGCAAACAAGGATTTGTCTTTGTTACTAAAAGAAGGAACACAAGGATATATCCTTGTAACGAAAAGAAGGCACACAATAATTTGTCTTTGTAAATAAAAAAGGAACACAAGGATTTGTCTTTGTTACTAAAAGGAACACAAGGATTTGTCTTTGTAACTAAAAGTTACTAAAAGAAAGCACACAAGGATTTGTCACTGTTACTAAAAGAAAGAGATATGTTGCTGTCATGAAGGTAAATATCATAGGTCCTGATTTCACAAAGGTTAGATACACTTCCTGATAACCAGCATTATATGCTTACTGTTGTCACTGCTGCTGAGTCCATCTTCATCCCTCATTTCCTGGTGAACAGACATGCTGCTGTTCATAGTCACAATGTCCTTCTTGTGGACAAAGTTACAAATATCCCTTCCAACCAGATAGTCCGGCTACAAAACATAACAACAGGCCAAGTTTTGAATCCCCACCTCCTTAGAACGCTTCAAACCGACTGTTGTTGTTATCCATCTCACACTTCTGGAGGAGATGTTGTTAAAAACAATATGGCCAAATTACCTATTTTTTTACCACGCCCCTCAGTCCCCTTTGACGGGGTTCAACCCCTCCCCACTACCTGGCAATGCTTCCAATTAAATTTGGTTAATTTCCAAACAGCAGTTTAAAAGAACTAGGGGAGCAGCATACAGGTATTTAAAATAGGTAATTCCAGTTACAAAAGAAGGACACTACTAAAATATGTAAAATTAAATACAATATATACCATATAGATCTACATATGTGTTGCTCTCTTTTTATGAGCACTCTGTGCAGATTCACAGTTGAAGCTATGTATCTGTTGTATGTCTTGAAATGTTCTACTTACTTGTTTAATGGGCTATATAAAACTGATCACATTGTGAAGTATTCCAACAGGAAAACAAAATGAAGGGCTAGGCTCTGTTATAATTGTGAATATTTGAATAAGAAAACAGTTCTTGAAAGTTAACAACTAATTATGAAACAATCTAATTTAGTTTTTAGAAACCATACAATGACATGTAGTCTTTGTCAATCAAAAGCTCACCTCTGGATAGCCCAGTACATCTGTAATGTTCTTAGATACTGCACCAATGTTAAGGTCTGGGTACCTCAGAGTGAAAAACAAGGCTTCCTACAACAGAAATCAGTCACTATCTTAGGGACATTTCAGTGTGTAACACATCCCTGGTCTCGTACTGTAGTCAGTTAACCTATATAGCACCTAAGTTCTTACTAAACCACAGATTCTCCAGGGGGTTTTCAGGGTACTTTTTAAGTCCATTTAAAGGTCCCTTTTCCAATTGAAAAAGTATTTGATTTCTCCCAGTTTACCCCTTTAAAATTCCTAATTGGGAAATCTAAAAATATAAATGCATTAATTTAGATAAATTCCTTCCAATTGACTGAGTTCTCAAAATGCTGCATATGTAGGAAGGACAGAATTGTCATGTTGTCATAAAGATAGGTTTAAATTAAAATTAAATTAAATAATCTATTTCATGTATTCAGAGTTGGTTTAATGTTCCAAACTTTCTGCAAATGAATATATTATGGAATTTCATTCTAGCTATTTTTCAATGAAAAGAAACAGTATACTCCTGCTTATCTAGAAGTGAATAAGATTTAGCTTCCAATATTTCTGAAACCATCATACATACCTCATGGTTCAAACACACTGAGTTAAGGTCATTCTGCTCATCAAACGGAAGGTTAAACTCATTTTCCTGTTTGGCAAGTTTAGACGACAATTCTTTTTCCTCTGAAAAAACCCCAACAAACAATAATGTAGGGTATAAAATCCACATTTTACTGTAAATAAATTTTGTTGAATGATTCTAAAAGTTAATTGGAAAAGCAACATCTACAAAATCAGAGGTAGGTTTTATTTTATTGTGTTTATCCCAAACGGCTAATAAACCAGTCAGTTTGGGATATAGCTACACACCAATTGTATAATAAAGTCACAGCCCGGACAAAATGTTACATTTGATCTGTTGGGACATGTCAAAGACCTGTTGGAGAGCTATCCTTACCTTTTATCTGTTTGAATGTGTCGACAACCTGCTGGAGAGCGGACAGTGTCCCCAAGTTGCCCGAAGGTTGTACAACAAGTCCTTTTAATTCTTTCAGGTAGCGTTTTACCTGCTCCTTACGACTTTTCCTCAGTGCTAACTTCTTAGTGTAAGGCTGTTCACTACTACAAATTTCCAAAACATACAAAGTGTCAGCAAATTAGCTTATAAGGACAGGCAATCCCATTCATAGAGATCACTGTGGGCAATTCATGAGGGTGTATATGAATAAAAAACAACAGTAAACTGTGTAAATCTACATAATAAACAACAGAGCCTGAATTTATGAAGCCATTCAAATGTTGTGGTCAAGCCCAATTTCTATATCCAATGATGAATTAATAAACATTCACAATACATGTATGTCAATGATTTTGAAGAATTCAGGGGAACCTTAAAGTCCTAAGACCGCGTCCTGTGTCTACAGTTTATGACTGTATCACATCATTTCAGCTAAAGTTACAAGAAAGTTGGTTTGAGCAAGGAATTCATGATTTTAAGCATGAGTTTCATAAATACAGGCCCAAGTGGTTCCTGAACCTACTCTTCAATTGTACAAAGGTACAGACCCCATGTTAATAACACAGTAAGATAAAAATGAATCAATTCTTTTCATATATTTATAAAAACAAAATATGTGTATACGTGTCACCAGATATATGTATAGGATCCCTATCAAACTGGATAGAATATTTCCAAATGTGTTTAAAACAAGAAGTCAACGACCCGAAAGATACATGAAGGTCCCTGCAAAGCGTACATAACAATGATTTGCTCATGTACAAACCTGCAACCACTGGTGGATGGTTGGTCCTCCACCAGGTCACTCTCGTTCAACGACATGCTGATACTGCTACTGCTGCTCTGGACAGTGCTGAAATCAAATTACAAAAACTATCTAGCTGCACTTATGCCATTTCTAATGTGTTCATTTTCACCTTTGCAAATGTTCAACTGTTTTGCTTTGATTGAATTAGGGCTGTCACAATATATTGATCCTTAGCCCTTTCAACCCTGTAGACCATAATGGACTCATCCATATCAATGCATGGTAGAGTCTACTTAAGTTACTTGGGGGTGAAAGCTTAAGGGTTAAAAGACCAGTATACCACAATACGCAGTCATTTTATAATGTATATACCACAATACAGAAATGAAATATTGCTGTATCACAATATTTTTCAAAAGAGCTTAGGTAGTTTTAAGTATCCGCTAGGTGTTATATATAAGTTGTCAACGGTTACACATCCTACAATATATACCAAAAGCCATACACAGGTTTTTATTAGTGGTAGGCATTAGCTGAGATTTCATAATCAATCATTAGTTTTACGAAAATGCTTGATCCATAAAATATAAGATTCAGTTTTATATTATTCTGACAAGTTCTTTTAAATTGACCCTTTTTCCTATGACAATATATCATGATACTTATCACAAATATGCACAAAAACATGGACAGGAACATGTAAAGAGAACCATTCACTTATCTAAACTGTTGCTGCAGCCATCATTTGATTTTGACTTCCAAAATTATAAGGAACACATTGATACATAAACACAGTGATATTAAGACGAATTACCTTAAACAATAAGAGCCATAGTTGGAATCTGGTTCACAGGCCATGTTGGCATTGATGACAGGGGTTTTCTTCAAGTACAAAATCTAGAAAACAAAAACAATACACTGTATTCTATTTATCATTCAGACAATTGTGAAGAATCAGCTTCCTTTACGTCTTTAGCCAGATTTACATAGGTTTGAAGTTACAGATCACATTTCTGTGGATAAACAAATTGACAGCTCTCGTCTGCTGTGAGATCCAGAGCATGCAGCTGACACCCTTACTTGAATGTGATCATGATGTATAGCCAATTTACAGCTCATCAGCATTGAGGTCTAGAGTATGCAGTTGGCAGCCATATAGCTTATCGGCTTTGAGGTTTAAGCCAATTTACAGCTCTTGTTGGCTGCGAGATCTAGGGTGTTTGACAGCCTGTTTCAACTGTGAGGTTTCAGATAATTGACAGCTCTTGTTGGCTGTGAGATCTAGTGTTTGACAGCCTTTCTCAACTCCCAGGTTTCAGATAATTGACAGCTCTTGTTGGCTGTGAGATCTAGAGTGTTTGACAGCCTTTCTCAACTGTGAGGTTTCAGATAATTGACAGTTCGTGTTGGCTGTGAGATCTAGAGTGTTTGACAGCTTTTCTCAACTGTGAGGTTTCAGATGATTGACAGCTTTCGTCAGCTTTGAGATCTAGAGTGTTTGACAGCCTTTCTCAACTATGACATCTTGGAGTTGGATAATTGACAGCTCTTGTTGGCTGCAAGATCTAGAGTGTTTGACAGACATGTTTGACTGCAATGTCTAGATAATTGACAGCTCCTATGTGCTGCGAGGTCAAAAACATTGGACAACCAGTTTCATTGACTGTGAGGGCCGTTGATAGCTCTATTATAAATGCTGATATGAGTGTGAGGCCTGGACATTGGATGGTAATAGTCAACTGCAAGGTCGAACAGTGGTTGTTAGCCGTTTTTAATTAGTCGACTACAAAGTCAAAAAGCTGACGACAGCCTAGCTAGTTGACTGGAAGGCCTAGATCTAGGAGTGGTTTATACATGACAGCCAGATTTAATAAAAGAGCTGTGTACCATTAACAGCCTTGGTTGACTACGAGGTCTGTCTAGAGAGGTTGACAGCCTTGGTTGAATACGGGGTCTGTCTAGAGAGGTTGACAGCCTTGGTTGACTACGAGGTCTGTCTAGAGAGGTTGACTACGAGGTCTAGAGAGGTTGACAGCCTAATTAGTTGACTGAAAGCTAAGGTCTACAAGCAATTATAAATGTTGATGTGTGTATCTGGCCTGTTTTAAGGGCATACCTATCTATAATCTGTACTGAAGTAACAAATTATGAATACATTTTAAAATACATTTATGATTTATTACAGAGCGGTAAAATCATTTTCAAATTGATAGTTGTTTTTCGTATAAAATCTTTCTGTTAATGTCAGTTTGTTCACATCGCCATTCTGAAATTTGTATCAACCAATACACAGTGTCAACAAAGCATGGCTTCTTGGATAGAATACATTGTTTTTAGGAAGACTTTTATCCATAAAAACATGTCTCTTACTCATAATGCTTGCAGCCTGCACATACATTTAGATAAGTTGTTGTGTTGTTTTTGTATGATTAAGACAAAGGTTTTGTGTTAATTCAGCCTTGTATACTCAAATTTCTTTGGCTATTGGACTAGCTATAGTACAGTATATATTCAAATCTTGTAATGGCGCTAAAGCCAAACACCAGAGAGCCTGGTTGTCGTGCTATTGAATTGTTTACACCTCTGAATTTTGGTATTGGGTGTCTTAAAGAGTACTGATTGACTTATCAACAAAAAATAATAAAAATTATGTTTGATAAAATTGAATTATCGAGACCAATAGATGATAGAAAATAAGTTTAGAAAAACAACAGCACCATCATCAATTCCAACTTATCAACTTTTGGTGACCGTTATTTTAATATTCTGTCTGTAAGTTGTAATTTTTACAGCATGAGCAACTACAGTGTATAAGTACATGATATTTAGTGTGGTCATAGATCAAAACAGTGGTATATATATCCAAGATGGCAGACATTTGTGAACAGGGGGGTTGCTCGCAATTAAGCCCCCTCCCTACTTTTGGTCTATGTTTTTTCACTAGGGTCGGGGGCTTATTTGCGGTGAAATACGGTTGTTGAAACAAATGTAACTGTAAGCCCAATCTCATACATCTTTACCCAATTGCTGAAACATCTTTTCAAAGTACCGAAGCATTTTCAGTCAGCACAAAAACATCTTATCTCTATGGTAGCAGTGTACATTTTGTACAATAACGTAGTGGCCGTGGGTCATATTCTGTACAATGAATAAGGTGGATCCCCTGTAATATTACATGCATCAATTTTTCTTTAAAAATCACCACTAAAATTGGCATAATTATACATGATTAAGTGGACTATGCTGGCTTCATAATTTAAAAAATAAATAAATTTGAATTGAATTTTATATGGTTGAAATCCATATCTTATTCCCAGAGAGGAAGTCGCTTAAGGCAATATATAGCCAAATTGCCCCCTTTTGGCCCTGTCCCTCAGCCCCCCTGGGGAGGGGGGGGGGGGGGGGGGCCCCCCNCTATTTGTACAATTTTAAAATCCCACCACCTAGGGATGCTACCAGTTAAATATGGTTGCTATCCATTGCTTAGTTATAGAGAAGAAGTTGCTTAAAGCAATATATAGAGGATATTTAATGGTGTCGTCAGTAATAACAAATTATATTTCACGAGTGTGGCTAATATTTTGATATTTTACGCAAGTGCTTTATTACTGACGACACCATTAAATATCACCATTCTCTTGTGGAGTCTATATATATAACATAGCTATTTCACCTAAAAATAGATTATTTTTTTAAAACAAAAACAACTGTTGTTTTTGCAAGCTTTTGGTGCCATGTAGTGAAAGAAAGGTAACTTTTTCATTCGCTAATGGAGGAAAATAAAATATTTCACTTTAAAACATATATATGCAAATTTGAACAGTGTTGAAATGCAAGGGAGACAATCCAATCTACAATCAATGTAAGTTTGCAAATAAATTCAGAACAATAAGGGAGGTAAATCTTACTAAATTATACACAAAAAGTCAGTATAGTCAAACAATGTAATGATAATTGACTTACCACTCAATGTATTTCACTTTCTGGGTCTGTAATAAAAAAAACACCACTATTTAAACCTAATTCCAACACTAAAATGTAATACTAAAGCAACCATGAACAAATGTTCTTACTACTAAGTGATATATATATAACATATAGATCGTATATATAACATATAGATAGATAGATCCCCACCACCTAGGGATGCTTCCAGTCAAATTTATTTAAATTCCAATCAGTGGTTAAGAAGAAGTCGTTTTACGAATTTGGTCTTTTAGACTAGGTGAGCTAATGAAATATTCGGACTTAATCTGTATCATTATATATTAAGTGTGTGCTAAAACAGACATGCACCGAAACACGGCAAGAAATGGCGTCGTACGTCCCCCTCCAAACATACACAAATCCACAACAGTATTTTCTTTTTAATACTTACATAAAATGCAGCAAAGATGAACAAGGATCATAATTATATCTTGTATGCAGCAGTAACATATACATAGGCAACCAAAACAACAGGATTCACAAAGTAAATATCACTGTGACAGCGGACCCTGTGACAGTCCGCACTGAATCAGCTAATGTGCTCACAAACCGACCCATTAAGCTTCTGTTTATATCCAAGAACTCATAATTCACACAATATATACACTACGTCAAGTTGCTTTCTGTTAGGAATCAGGAAAATGTCCATTTTAAAACCAGACGCATCCATGAATGTATCCGACATCAAGATCCCGTTGCTGAAAACGTGTAAGCACTAAACGTGTTTATCCACGTGAATCATTCGGAATAGTCTCGGGTTCTCTTTCGGAATACCTCGTCTAGCGCTTTAATGGCTTTAATATGCGCAGATACGTTTCTACCATACAAATGTATTTATTATAGTCACGGTATACCGTAATGCATTTATAGTAGTGAAGGTATAGTGTTACAAGTGCGACACGGTTGTCTATAGAGTAATAAATGTAACAAAGTCATTCGAGTCTTGACGGTTCACTTCAAGTGAGCTTATCCCATGGCCCAGCGTCCGTCGTCCGTCAACTTTTTCCTTCAAAACGCAATTAGTCCTGCATGAACGGCTCAGAGGATTTTGACCAAATTTGGTCTGGAGCATCATTGGCCATAGGGTTCTTAGTTTTGTATAAACGGAGGGTATGGTTCCCCTGGGGGCAGAGGGGTGGCCAAATAGGGAAATCTTTAAAAAATCTTTTTCTTCTCAACCAATATAGAAGGGTTTTGACCAAATTTGTCCTAGAGCATCTTTGGACAAAGGAGACTCAATTTTGTATAAACGGAGGGTGTGGCCCCCCCCCCCCCCTGGGGGCGGAGGGGCGGGCCCATTAGGGGAAATAGAGGAATTGTTTTCTCCTACTATACAAGTGAAGGGATTTAAACCAAATGCAGTCTGAAGCATGATTAGGGACAAAAGAATCAATTTTGTATAAACTAAGCTAGGTGTGTGGGCCCCCTTCCAGGGGCAGATGGGTGGGGCCCCTTAGGGGAAACAGAGGAAAACATCAAAGATCCTTTTCCTTTTGTACTGATGAAGGGATTTTGACCAAATTTGATCTGGAGCATCATTGGCCAAAGGTTTCTCAGTTTTGTATAAACGGAGGGTATGGTCTCCCTGGGGGCAAGGCCAAATAGGGGGAAAATAGGTTAATCTTTAAAAATCTTCTTCTTCTCAACCAAAAGAAGGATTTTGACCAAATTTGTTCTAGAGCATCTTTGGACACATCCTCGATATCCAGGAGTTACGCTTACTTTCGCTCTCTACACTTAGGTGCACGTGTGTGGACCCCCTTCTTTGGGGCAGATGAGTGGGCCCATTAGGGGAAATAGAGGAAAACATTAAAGATCCTTCTCCTTCTGTACCGTTGAAGGGATTTTAACACATAGCTGTTGAGTTTTATTTGATAAATGCTTTATGTTCGGTTGAACATAGTGAATTAGAATCATGATGACCTCCTTCAACAGGTTGAAGATAATGTCATCTTTCGCTGTATCTGTCGCTGTAATATTTAAGCATTGAACTGTTTTTGTATGGTATTTATGATCTATTTGAATGACACAGCTTTGCAAGCAAACAACATAATGCGCGCTAGCGTTTTTTTGCCTCTTATGTTCTTTTTTAACTTTTAATTTATATTTAAAATTAAAAATGCCCGCCTTATCGACAGTCCACACAATTTCGTTCAATAGTTTGAACAGCGTATTGTCGCGTGCTGATTGGCAAACAAAGTAGTACTTTGAAATTTGAACAAGCACTTTAATTTTATTCCACAATTCAGTATCAATACAATTGCTTATGATATGTCTACAGGATGATTTAAGTTTATCAATAGAACTCTGAGCTGAAAGTTATATTTGAAATTGTTTCGATTTTCCCCCGGAACAAATTTCGCGCATGGACAAATACAGTGAAAACCGTAAAACCGACCTTGCCCTTCACGAGGGAGTTCTGAATCTGAATCTGAATAGGTACGTTGCAGGGCCAGTGTATGGCATCAATGGCAACGGGAGAGAGGCGCTGGAAAATTAGTCCAACGATGTGAGAGCAACCGAAGTTTTAAAGCTCTCAATTGACTTGGCACACACGAGATTGTCTGGTAGTCTTTTCCAATCGGAAATTGTTCTTACAAAGAATGACTGTTTATATTGCTCGGATTTGCTAGGTGGAATTTTGAAGCACCGGCTGTTGTTTTGTACGAATTTATTTACAATGTTTGTTGTATTGTAGTCACTAAATTGTTTTGATTTTATTTGTCGTTTTGGTCTCTCCTTGACTAATACAGAGTCTTGCGGGATAGCTGTTACCAACTCCCCGGCCACCTTGTAGAGAAAACTGAGTCTGCTGTGACGACGTCTATTTTCAAGTGTTGGTAGTTTTAGATCATTCATAAGTCTCCTTATACTACCTTCCTCTCTGCTGGTATAGTCCCCACTGATGAAACGCACTGCTTGTCTCTGGACGCGCTCTAGAGCATTAATGTCTTTGATTAAATAGGGGTCCCATACTATAGCTGCGTGTTCTAACAGTGACCGGACAAGTCCTATATATGCTTGTTTCCTGCAATCCTTCGGACAGTGACGGAGGTTTCGTCGCAAGAAGCCTAGAGTGGAGTTTGCCTTCTTTACGGTTTTCTTTACGGAGTTATTTTTGGAAGTTAATTCGAACTTTTCTCTTTGCTCATTTTTTGAAGAATCCATGCGTGAATGTATTTGTTGATTGTATGGTAACCTGACAACAGTCGGTAGATTCTATAACATCCTCGTTGTTTGACATGTCGTCAGAAACTGAGGAATGGGGGATGCGAGACGCGTGAAAGATAGCGTTTGAAGTGAGTGATCTTGCGACGGAGCACAGGTTCGTTACTAATGTCTGAAATGTTTATGTGTGCTGTGACTCATATCAGTAGGTCTGTAACATATGTGTCAGTAGGTCTATATAATATGTGTATTTCAGACATTTGTAACGAACCCCTGTTGATCAGTGCAGTATAACAGACGATATTTCTGATAAATTGCATGAGCGCAAAGTTCTCGCGGAACCAAATACATTCATTTATTGAATTCGGTTCCTTACCTGGAAGAAGAAGATGCAGAAGAAGAAGAAGAAGAAGCGTTAAAACTGTTTCCATTGCCGGCATTGGTGATTTGAACCGATGTGCATTTTGTACGATTGGTCTTGTTTTCGTTGTAATAAAAGTGTTTTTTTATTTTGCACATAAATTTACAATGGCATTGTCAAATCTCACATTGCCCAGCGATATTTCAGCAGCCGTCATGTTTATTTACATTGGATATTGTAGTTCCGGTCAGTGTTGTAATTAATACGCTAAGAATTGTGTCTCGTGCGGCATGGTAATTATGTCTCGTGCGGCATGGTAATTAAAGTCCCATCAACGACACAGCTTTCAAAGAGGCTATATAGTGACAATGCCATGCAAATGTAAATATTATGATATGGTCAAAGGTTGGACCCCGCTTATTATATACATTTTTCTGTCGAGAATGGATTTTATAAAGTAAAAACTCAGGTAAGTTGGCGGTGTTTGACACAATAGACGTATCAACCCATCCAAGATGGCGGCACGGGTCAGAGGTCATAGGGGAAAAAAATCTCGCGCAAATGTAAACAAATTTGACAGTTTGACGGGCCTCGCATGAGACATGATTAAGATTAAGATTTACACTTATTTTTTGTATTGAACGTTATATATACTTCATAGACAGCGGATCCTTATGATCAGAATCGAACTTTAGATGATTTTATAACATGGAAACTTCCCGATTTACGTGATTTTTTTTACCAAGCGCGGTTTGTCAAAAGACGGAAGCAAGAAATGGCTGTCGGCATTATGTTTTGCTGCATTTACGATTAAGCTACAACTTGTCCAAACCATGGAATTAAATGAAGTCCGTGTCCAAACTGATGCCTGTATTTTAAAACAAAATCAGGAAGATTACTTTAATTTGTTACATGTAGACGATGGACATACCGGACCCATTTTCATTACACACTGGGTGGGTCGAGGAGAAACTGGGACCGTTTAATTACAAAATCGGAAAGGCTAATAAGTATTTTCAGTCTGGTCACTTTCAGGAAGTTTACTACCATTCCATATCAACTGCATCGGCTGTATTTTTATCAGCCAAATGTACACCGTGTTGTCACAGAAAGTGAAGGGCGACTCACATACAGTGTGGGTTTGCTGTTGCAAGGAAAATGGAGCAGTAAAATCGGCTATGAAACCAAGACAACGTGATACCTGTAGGTGATTGTGTAATGTTTAAATGAAAGCATTAGTTAACATTCTATTTATCTATTTGAATGCAAACTAAATGCTAAACAGCGAGTCATACCCTAATATGGACAATACAAATATATAATTTTTCTAAAAATATATTAGTTAGCTATGAAAACTATTTTAATTAGTGATAAATAATATAAAGCACTGCTTATAAATATTTTCCTGTACATAACACTCTTGTCAATTATGTATAATAGACTGGGCACATTCATTATCAAGGAAACAGTTTTATGGTTTAAAAATATATCAATTATCTCCCTTAGACTAGGACATTAAATATGATTGTGATGACTCAATAAACAAAAGCAGGTTTCAGTCAAACTTGAAATTGACCTCAGTCTTAGTGTATTGTACATGCTCTTATAAGTTATCTTGTGACAAATATGGAACCTTTATTGGTTGGAGTATAAAAAAACCACCCAAATATAAAATCTATTGCCAGGGAACTGGGACCAGAGGCCTAACAATCCTACAAGAAAGAAATGTTGAAGTCTTTTTATAGTAAAGTGTCCATTCCTTGACCAGAATCACATTCATTTAGGAGCAAGTCCAGACCTGTTGGTCACTTGTGAGTGCTGTGGGGATGGTGTTGTAGAAATAAAATGTCTCCTTGTTACAAAATGTGCTAAGTGTTCAAGGCTCTGCTCTTGTAAGCTTCAAGTCTATTTATGGCTCTATATTTTTGGCAAATCTAAGGGCAGCTTTCCATCACAGGGAGAAAGGGTTGTGACTTTTATATGTAGCAAATTGTATACACATGTAATTATTTGGCAAACACACAGAAATGATTTTATTTGACAGCTCCCTACTATTTGCAAGTACTTGACAGCTTTATATTGTTTTATGTGAAGTTTGTAGTGCCTGAATTTTTTTCAATTAAGGCCTTTGAAAAATCAAAATGAAAAACACAGATCTGCCTGTCATGTCAGAGGCAATGGACATTGATCATGCCCCTGCTACAACACATT